CCCCCCCCCCCCCCCCCCCTCCTTGCTTGCGCCATATCCCGACATACAGTTGAAAGGCGTACCGCCCATGGAGGCTGGGGCCTCAGCAAGTATCCTCCTGCAAATTCATGAGAATGTTCACCTGTGTGCCTCGCTAAGCTGGGTGCTCGAGACGCATTGGTGCCTACTCCGTATTTTTTATCATTTGCAACGCGAGCAACCCCCCTCCCTCAACGTTTTTTATGGGCGATTGTTCTGCTGTGTCATAGGTCTTGCTCACGGAGATCAGGAGGCTCGTCCTACGAATCAGTTGCAGATGTCGCATTCGGCAGACGCGCCAAGCTCCTGTGCATGGCACTGGTGAGGAAGGAAGGCTATGTGGTGGTCATCCGTGGACACGTGGACGTAGATCTTCGCAACGAACAAATCTGCCTTCATTTTGAATCCATGGCGTGCCACGCTTGAAACGCCTGCCGTACAACGTATGTGGCGGTCGCCGCAAGACCCTTTCGGCTGACACCTTGCACTTATGCAGGGACTGATCGCGTTCTAGTGGGCTACCACACTAGTCTGTTGCTTTGTCTAATTGGACTCGTCCTGTCCGCTTAGACTTGAGGACATTCACGTGATACCTGTCTGTGTATCGATCGTCGCGATACTCCCCCCCCCGTCTCCGAAGGTGGTCTGCGTGACCTACCTGCCGTTAGTGGGCTACACGATTCTTCTGCGAGATTTGCTGGCTCCTCTTGCGGAGGTCGCTTTGAACAGGACGCTGGGCAGCCCGGCGCGAAACCTGTTGGTGTCAGCTCTGGTCGTCCTGGTGAGGTTTGAAAACTATGGTATCTACGTAAATGCTGCATGAATGGTTCCGGAAAGTTATGCCTGTGAGGTTCATGAGGAGGAATGGAATGACGCCACTATATTCCGTGGCACATATCGTGTTCATCATGCCGGGGCAGGTGAAGGTCTTTGAACGCCTCGCCAACCTTGGTCCGTCTCAGTTGGAGTCGGCTTGCCCAGATGTGATTTTCCGGCGCCGGGAAACTGTTATAGCAGTGCACGGACCGGATGGATGTCACTGTCCTTTGCGGGTGGTGTACGCTCGACGTAGCAAGTCCGGGTTCCACTTGCTGTGACTGACCCCCCCTTCCCTGCCGACCGCTACTGCTGTCATGTGGATACCTCAAGCGTTGGTGAATTTGTGTCCATGTAAACGTGTGTGTGTGTGTGTGTTTGTGTGCGTGCTTCGAAGCAAAGTCGGCATGAAAGAACAGGTGCCAGATTAGGGTCATACAACGACTGCGTTCCATTAGTTTATCGCTGCTGCTCCATGTGAGCATGGCTCACGTATCGTGTCCCCCTTCTCTCACAACCGCGATGCCGGATTTTCAGATTTATCCGGCGTGCACCCTTCGCACCCTGACAGCCCTGCGGCACCTGTCGTTCCTCAGCGTCCTCGCGGTCTCACTGGTGCGTCCTTCCACGGCTTTGACTTTGGGGTCTAGCATGATTTGGCGTTGTCCTCTGTGGAAGGGACGCATGAAGCACGTCATGCTTGCTGCGCCATCGAAAGGAAAGGCTGCTTGTAGAACGAACGAGGTAGCGCGGACACCGTGTAGAGCGATGAAAGCGGTTGTCTCAAGGAGCTGCTATCGTTCAATAGGTGTATGGTAAGGAAATTGTCGCTGATCGCTTGAATATCTCCTGTCGGCGGCAACCCCCCCCCCGGGAATCTTCTTCCCATCCCTACGCGGAGCTCACCGGCGCGCTTTTGCTCGTAGTCGCCGAGTGTTAACCTTTGTTTGGTGCGTATGTCTACGCCTTCCTCCGCAGCTCACGGTCTTTATCGGGCTTCGTGCGGGAGAGTGCGCGGCTTCCGTGGGCGTTCCTGCCAGCGCAGTGAACCTTTGGCCGGAGGATGGCTGGAGCGGGGCCCTCCAAGCGATCCCTATCTACATCTGCGCGTTCGGGTGCCACTTCAACGTCCTGCCCGTGCACGGCGAGCTTGCCAAGCCCACAAGGGAGCGATTGCACCGCTTGGTGAGTGGGCGGCCTCTCCGGCACGCTTCAGCTCCCCACGATCGTTTTCCCGGCCGTATTTCCGACTCAGGGGTCTAGTACCGCATGAAGGAACGGCAACCTTTTTCCCGACCTGGGGTCCGTGGTCTCCGTTGAAAACCTGGATGCTTGTATTTGCCCCGAGCTTTTCGCGGCACAAGCCATGGGACCGCGGCTTTGGCGTTGGTGTGGTAGCGATTCGGACATGTGCTCGAGTCTGGCGGTGCTGGTGCGCCAACGCCGCAAAAGTGGGAGGCTACGCATACTAGTTGGTCTTGGGAGTCGGAGTAGAGAGGGAAGAGTTGTGTTTTTTCTTTTTGCCGTCGAGGCGTAGAATCGCCCACCAATACAAGCCACCCGTTTATGTTGATGGGTCCCTCCGAAGGTTCACTGGACGATCGGACTTGTGACGGCGTTCTACGCTCTTGTAATGACGCTGGGGTACACGTACGGCGTGTGCACCGGCGGCGTGAGCGACAACATCCTCAACAACTTCACCACCGACGACACGCTCATGAACGTGGGGCGGGTGGGACTAGCGGTAACCCTGCTCGTCAGCTTCCCTCTCCTCACAGTGCCGCTCATAGGCACGCTCGTGCGGGCACAGCGGGAGTTGATCGGTGAGCCTTGCATCTCTCTGCGTTTGGTGTCCTTCGCCGCAGCAGTTTTTCGACAGAAGGGTTAAGGGCTTGGTGAATTGCGAGTTGTTCTTGTGATCTCGGGCGCGAAAGGACTGCTCGCTGATTGGTCAGTTTAGATCATCTGGGACGCTCGATGCTTGACTTACTCACCCGTATGTTGATTATGTGTATTTGTTTTCCTGTTGATGTGGCACGTCATATCTCGTGGTCGCATACACACACGCGCCGTACGGGCGGCCCGTTTCTATCTCCAACTTGACGCGGTACATTGCGCTGCCACACACAAGAACCACCATGCCCCATCTGTACGCCGTTTCCACGACAAAATGTTGGTACTCTTCGCCTTTCCCTGTTTCTACGACGAGTCGTTTGTATTCGCCTTGTCCCTGCCTGCCATTTCTTCGACAAACGCTGGTACTCTTCGCCTGTTCCCTACCTGCCGTAACCGCGGGCCGGGCCACCACGCAGCTGTCGACACCCGCGGCAAAGCACCCCTCCTCAACCTGGAAACTCCCGGCGTAACCTCCGTGTGGCCCCCGCCGCGAAGCGGGAGGGTTGGAGACCCGACGGAACTGGAGGCACCGCTACTCAACCCATCCACGCTTCCTGACGACCTAGACACGGCATCAGAAGATTGCTTCCTAGACGATGCCGGCATTCTGGTGAGAGGCTGGTGTACTTGAGGCAGCGGCTCTGGGACAAGCCATGGCGAAGACGGTCTTGCGTCTATGCCCTCCATTATTGGATGGCGTTTTGTGCTCGAATTGCTTTTGTCGGCGAGGAGTTGTATAGGGATGGCAACATATGACATGGTGGTATGTGTATGTTTTTCGTTTTTGAGTTAAGGATTCCCCGGCATTGCACAAACTAGTGTCCGCGTGTGACAGCAATCCCAAGTCCCTCACTCGTCTTCATTTCTTTGCCGATGGGGTGGACCGTAGTACACAGCATGTCAATACAAGTACATAAATGACGTCCTCGCTACAACTGAACAACCTGTTGTTTTTTACAGAACCACGCCTTGCCGGCCTTGTCTATCCGCGTCCTTGAAGGGTTCGATGAACAGAGGGCCAGAGCTGACGGCGGCTGCCGGGAGGCAGGCGGACATGGAGGAAGATATACCGTACAAGACGAGGGCATGGCTTACGCTGGCGATTTTAAGCTCGGAGCTCCTGCTGGCCTTCAACATTACGATGGTGAACGTCCCTCTGCCTGTCTCTTGTCTGCTTGTAGAAAGAAGTACTTCGGATGGTGCCACAACAGTCGGCCAGCGGTTTTAACATCCAGCTTTAGCGGACCTCTTGTGTTTTCCCTTTGTTTGAGCGAACGGTTGGTCTATGCACCTTAGCAGTCTTGGTGCGGCGCGATGAGATGCCTCGACTGAACGATCTTCGCAGCTCAATCAATTCGGTGCCATGCCATCTAGAAGTACAGTATTCCATGCCGAGAAAAATAAAAAGATGTTGAACCACGAGCGACGCGACAGCCATGAAGGAATGGAGAGGTGGGTACTGTATAGATTTTTATCCTCGCAAGGGAGGCAACTTTGTCTTTGCATGTGCTTGCTTCGTGTCTTGCGATCGTTCGGGCCGGCAATCAGCGTGAAGCATGCACAAGGTGTGAGTAGAACGATAGTCTGCGACACCTGCTGCTGTTATTCTGTCGACAAAGCACGTCAACTAAGATGACCTGATCACGACTAGCATGGCGGCGGTTCTTTCTCTTCCTTGCCCAGGTGACGGACGTCTGGGGATTCTTGGGCAGCACGGCAAACGTCATGGTGGCCTTCACCCTGCCGTGTGCGGCCTACCTCAAGATAAGGCTGCACCTCCCTCGCAGGAGAGAGAAGCAGGGGGGCCCGCTGTACAAGAAGTGGGTGGCGGGGGTGCTGGTGACCTTGTCTCTCCTAGCAGCGGTAGTGTGCACGGCCAACAACTTCTACCTCCTTTCTGCGAGAAAGCAGGCGGGGGGGGCGCCTTGAAGCTGCTGCAGCGACGATTGGTGTGCGCCCCGGGGACTCTTGTCGGCAGTCTAGAGACGGGGGAAGACCCCGAGGAGCTGTAAGTACTCACGGTGCCAGAGCACAATGGTGACCTGAGGAAGACATGTACAAAAATAAAAATCTAGGTTCTGAAGAAGTGGTTTGATAACGTAGGGGACGAGAGTGTGAGGGATGGGATACGAATGAGGGCAGGAATTGCCCATGTATGGCGTGAGTGTGTGGAGCACGTTTGTGCGTTATGTGGGGAAGGGATTGGATTGGGGGCAGGGGGGGGGGGGNGGGGGGGGGGGGGGGGGGGGGGGTGTACTCATAGTCGTGCATGCCGTAGTCGTTCCACCATTGACTCGCATCCCTACAAAGCCGGGCCGGAGCACGCCGGGTTCTCACTGGACTACGCTCTGCGGGGGGTGTCATCGGCGCATGTGCTACCGCGGCAGCACTATTATAGCGCCGGGAAGGAGGGGATAGGGGCAAACCAAACCAGCGCGCGCCCCTCTTGCCTTGCCATGTTGTGTTAGTCCGTCCTCGGAGGGCAGCGTTGACAACTGCACCCCTCAAGAGCACTAACAAGCAGAGGTAAATGCCCGTGGATGCGTACATAGGGGGGTCATCGACGAGCTTCCCTCGTTGTGAGAACAAGCCGTCTGCTACGGTGGATGCTGTAGCACACTGGGCACGTCAAAACCTGACACTCGAACTTGCTAAGTGGGGAGAGACTAGCGCTTGGACAGCAGCGAAAGAGAGGAACAAACCATACCTGTTCCGCGTTTCGCGTCATTGCAGGAGTATCATATCTTCTTCAGGGATTTCACAGTTCCTTTCGAGCGGCTTGGAGTTCAAGAACAAGGGCTCGGTTGTGCAAAGACTGAGGCAAGAATCTCGTGTTGTTACTTGCCACCCCGCCCGGTTACGCGTAGTCGGGGGAAACATGCTAGAGTATTCTAGAAAAGCAGTCCGTCCGAGAGGGCAACACAAACAAATCTATAAGCGTATGCATACGATGTTTGTTCATGAGGTGGGACTCAGGGAGATAACTTGAAAGTGCTAGCCAAGCGGTGGCTGGGTTCCCTTGTTACGTGCGCCCTCCGGCAATCCAACTTCAAATCGAAAACTTGTTGCCATCTCCCGCTCAACATTTGCGGGGCAGTCTTACATGTAGATTGGGTGAGACGGTTAGTCTGTCCTCTTTTCGAAAGGATGTACCACGACAGAGCGGTCGAAGAACAGAAGGACGCCCATAACCGTCCTCGTACTCAATGCCCATCGGAGACATTATTAACAGGGTTGGCCCTCTGTCCCATTCGTCCTCCTGAATGGCGGGGCATGACATGCTGATTTGGATGCGATGACAGGACAAACGTGGTGTATTTGTTACGATGTCTTTTTTTAGGCTGTCCTTTTTTTTAAAAATGACAACTGGCCAAATAGCCCCGTGGGATAGGCTGTCAAAAAAGGTTCATGTTTTAGCAAAAAACGACGTTGTAACACGGGGCTATTTGGCCAGTTGTCATTTTTTGAAAAAACGACATCGTAACAAATGGCCTAATCTGCACGAAAATGGAAACCAAAAATGCTCACAGTACTGTATCCATCAAGTACCGCCGTTTGTGTCAGTAAAATGCCTTTTTTGGGATGACTTCTGGACACTCAACTCAGGGCGACTAGAACATGCACCCAGTCTCATCATCCCGGTTGCCAACCCCTACTCGGAGTTTCCAACGATTGTGCCGTACGCTTTTGCTTCTCCCAACTAATGTACAAGTCCGGCACGGGGTCGGTCAAACACACAACCCTCTGCCCGGCGTGCCCTAGTCTTTCAACACAGATATAGTTCTGCCGGTGCTTCTGCCCATGCCCCGAAGTATATATATATCCCCGAACAAACATTTCCCGACACTGGCACTCTCGACCCGGCCGCTAGAAGGGTTTCGGGGTGACCAACTACATCGTCACCGGGGTGCCCGGTGCACAACACAAACCACGCGATTTCCGTTTCCTACTTATTCTCATCCCGTCCACGAAAACACCACAGAGGGTCGCACCTCTTTGGTGGGTGGAAGGCGTGAGAATCCATAGACATTCGCCACAAGGATACATGTTACTTGCAGCCAACGAGGCACATACATCAAACGATTCGACTTGCCCCACACCGGCAACAGGTGATACCCCGGGACGACTCGGACGCACATCATCATCGAACAATGAGCCCACTATTGTACAATAAAAAAAACTGGCGAAATGGAGGACCCGGCCGAAGCCAGGAGCTTTCGAGCCAGTCATGGAGAACGCTTAGATGTGACACTCCTCACAACACTCTACTTGCACTGGGTGCAGGTCCAAGCGTGTATTATCGCCAGGCGATGTGATTGCCGCGTGACATAAGAAAGGCGCCCTTTCCAACGACCCCCTTCTTCCCCACGTCCTTACCCACACACAAAAAAAACAAAACAAGTACAATACAAGCATAAAATAGAATCGATCACGCCAGGAAGACCCTGCGTGCCAAGGTTCGGAACCAAGGCTACCACGTGCGTGAAGCACCTCATTGTCGATAATACCCTCTCACACGGCGCCACTCTGTAATTCTGTAACACATCGATCCACGTCACCACGGCCAACCCACATACACCCATCTGCCCATAACCAAAAACTCGCCGCCGCCTGCCGCTTCATAGTAACTTCCACAGCCATTACTTACACCTATCAACAGCTCTCCCACGCTCAACTCACTCTCTTGTTAAGCTCTCGTGTTCAGAACGCTCGACTAGCACACACCATCCTTGTCCCTCGTAGTCAAGGGCAGCGAGTCAACCCTACTCGTGCACACACACCAAAGTGGTCAAAGCGGAACACCGGAAACATACAAAATTCGATAAAAAAGAAAGCTGCAAGCGGTACAAATGCGCCGATGGCATGCGCGACCTCGGGTGCAGTACTTCCATCTGGAGATAGGAAAGATTACGTAACAGGCCACTCTGGACTTGGACACACACACACTCACAAAAAAAAAAAACAGGCAAACAGACAAGCGAAAAAACCACCGCGTCACCTTCACTCTAGCCTCAGGGTCGGAGACCATATGGGGGGGAAATTGCAGTATGTATGGAAGGAGAATGTGTCGCTTCGACCACATGAATACAGACACGCCGCTAAATTTCTCTAAACCTGCTTGCGTCCAAAGATTGTTTGTGGTGTGTCTAAGCCCGGCTAAATGAAGCCAGCCAGGCCAGGCCGCCTCCAGCATGTATCGACGACATCATGAGTGTTGACCCACTGGTGCCTCCTGGCCGGCGTGTGCGCCGGGACCGCCATTGAAGGACCACATTTTCATCATCCGCAGCATTTCCGCGCCGACCTCTGGCACAAAGAAACCATCGAGAGAATGCAAGGGGGCAGGATCGGATGGGCGACCAAATCAGATTGAACGAACCTTCGCTACGCGGGGACGGTGAGTTTATTCAGGAACACCGGAGCTCAGCCTCGGCAGCGCATTGGATCAAGTGCCGAAACATGATTCACGTATGTTGATTCTTCGCAGCTGCAACCCACGTCCACGAAGTGCACGCCGTTGCCAAACTGATACGATGAAAGGAAAAACCATAGCGTCACAATTTATCATCCCTGCAGGTCTAGCTAGAATTGCCTCTGAACGACCTAAATTATCCCGCAAGCGATTCTGCCGCCTCCTTCGAGAATCGTGCGCTGCACAAATCAGTCCGTAACATGAGCAATCGCAGAGCTAGCTCGGAACCGGCTGGACTGACACCGCGCGGTCGAAAACCTCCTTCCCCTGTCCCTCCCTTAACAGCGTTTAAGTACCGTCCATGTTGTTCCTACTGCAATGTATGATAAAATGTTCATGCTGCCCATGCATGTTCATACTGCTGTACGCCCCGATGCTTGTACCTTGTGGCCGCATCTCAAACGCACCTGCTTCTTGATCGACACTTACGCGTCCGCGCGTGTCTTCCCGGCATGGCTGAGCCGCGGCCTCCGCCGCCCACTTAGCCTCCGCTGAATCTGCCGCGTAGTTTATCCCGCCCCTTCTTCGTGGGTTGACAAATACCGATGCCTCACCAAACTGCGCCAGCGACGAGAGAACAATGACAAAGCGGTGATTATGCGCTTGTGAAAGTGATCACCAAGGGTCCGATTGAGAAAATGGGGCATGGGCCGAACACAGGAAGGGACTCTTGCGGACGCCTGATCCCTCCGAAATGGCGGCGTGTGTCCGTCATACATGGTCGCGCTGTAGCGGAAGGTCACGGTTGGGTCGGTCGTGACGATATCACCCAACGATCACATATCTGTCTGTGATGAATAATTAACATGATGTCCACCGCAGTAGAACAAAAAACAGCCTTGTAGCCAGTATTTAAAGCAGGTACGTGGTGGACTTCCGTCCGTGTGTATGCCGCATGAAAGTATTTACGCACTTTCGTTCACGTCCAGGCATACCGAAATTTCCTTTGAGAGCGCCCGGAAAAAATATCACCGGCTTAAGCATCCCACAAAAACTTGAAGTTGACCGCCCCGAGGTCAGCCACCCCGGGGCACCCTTCATCATTTTTATTTTCCGCCCCACTACGACTATGAGTACACCCCCCCCCAACTACCTTTGAGTTAACCCCGGGGTGTTCTTTATCCGGCAAATGATTGGGCCGCCCCACGACACGGCGACCGCACACGAACCCACGGACGATATTTCATTGTGGAAGCGTTCTATTGTGTGTGCGCATATACAAGTTGTCGTATTCGTTGTACTTGGTTGGGTGTCGGGTCAGCGCTATGGTGTGTTGTAGAGAAGATGCATTATCACCGCAGAAAAGAGACATCACCCCCGCAGGGACTTTTCCGCCCCGGGGCTTCCTTGTTTTAAAAAGATCGCCCCGCTCCGGACAGATGAAACCTATTGAGCTAGCCCGCTAGCCCCGGGGTGTTCTCTGTAGGCAAATTATTGGGGCGCCCCAAGGGGCGTCTGCACGAACCCATGGATTCCATTGGTGTGGCAGCATTCCTCTGTGTGCCAGTGCTGTACAGTACTTCTTGCATTCGTGTTCGGTCAGCGCTCGCTGTGTTGTGTCTTCAAGCACGTGCATCACAGCAGACAAGAGATAAAGCCCCGCGGGGACTTTCGGGCTTTAGATTACAATAGTCTAAATATTTTGAAAAGGTCGCCTCTACATGAAGATTATTCTACCTTTGGGTCTATGCTACGTAGTCTAATAACCGCAATTACATCATTAGGCTACTGCTGCACCCGCTGGAAAAAAAATAGTGGCAGGAGTCCTGGGCCCTGAAGTTGATCCAGGCGCCAGTGGCATCCTACTACTGTACCTAGTATGCATATACTACCAGGGGATGACTTGAGAGTCTAGAATATCCACATATCATCACCAACCGCCTAAGCGCCTTCTGCGAAGCCAACAACATCCTCCCGGCGGGACAGTGCGGACTTCGACCCGGGCGATCCACCATCGACATGCTGTTCGTCGTGCGCCGCCTCCAGGAGCTGTGGCGGAGAAAGAAAATGCCGCTCTACATGTGCTTCGTCGACTTGAACAAGGCGTATGATTCGGTGGACCGAGAGATGCTATGGAAGGTGCTGGCCAGGGCCGGGATTCCCGCGAAGCTGATCGAAGTCATCCGCCAATTCCACGATGGAATGCGGGCCCGGGTGCGCATGGACGACGGAGAACTATCGGACTGGTTCTTCGTGACACAGGGCGTGCGACAAGGATGTGTGCTATCCCCACTGCTGTTCAACATCTTCTTCGCCGAGGTCCTCGAGGTCGTTGTCATCCGATTCAGCGAGGATGATGTTGTTCTGCGGAGCCTGGTGTGCTTGGAGGAGGGGAAGACGGAAGCGGGGGGGGGGGAGGAGACACCCCTTGACCGAGTACGGAGGGCAGTATGGGGGATGCTGTATGCCGATGATGCCGGCGTCGTATCGAGGTCTGCAGAAGGACTGGCGAGAATGATGACCATCATCCGTGAGGTGTTCGGGGAGTTCGGGCTAACGGTGTCGGAGAGGAAAATCGGAGACGCTCCTGATGCGCGCGAAGGACAAGCCGACTACAACATCACAGCCCGCCCCGCCTCCACCACTGACCATCGAAGCCGCGGGACAGAACTTCGCCCAGACGACCGAGTTCCGGTACCTCGGTGGCCTCGTCAACGAACATGGCGACCTCACCCGGGAGATCAACTACAGGAGCAGAGGAGCGTGGGCGTGCCTCAGGCGATATGGCCGGGAGTCTTTCGACAGACCGCAAGCGCCATTCCGACTCAAGATCCGCCTGCTCCAGGCGGAGGCGATGGAGGCACTGCTGTACGGCTGCATGACATGGTCACCACTCAGCGGCCACTATCAGACGCTGCGGTCGATACACCACCGACTGCTCCTTCGAGTTATCGGGTACAAGCGCAAGAAAGACACCTACCGGCAGCTCTCTTACGCCCAGACGCTGAAGAGGGTCGAATGCCAGAGCGTTGAAGCCACGATCCGACAACGACGCCTACTGTTCGCGGGAGCATTGGCAAGGCAGCCGGACGGGCGACTTCCGAAACGACTGATGTTCGGCGAACTGTCAGGGGGGAGAAGCGACGTAGGGGGGTACAGGAACATAACTGGCCGAAGTGTGTGCTCGACGACCTGAAGGCATTCGGGGCCGACCACGGATCTACGAAAACCGATCCGTGTTGTCTCGGAATCCCGGTACCGAAAGACACGGCACCGAAGTTAAAGTGGACGGAAGCCGCGAAGGTGGAGGGGGGAGTACCCTGGCATGCGGCGGTGCTGCAGGGAGCTGAGAGGTTTATGATCTCCTGGCACGAGAAGGAAGAACAGGCCAGCCGACTACGGGCGCTCAAACGACACCACAAGCCAACAACCAATGGGGCGAGAGGGGGGCAGGAGACGGACGAGACGGCGAGGGAAGAAAGCAAACGAGAAGAGACGGACCGAGTGGCGCGATACGTGCCGGATTGAATTTCTTTTAGCCAATTCCCCCCCCCCCAACGCTGCACCATTGCACCAATTCCCCACTAGTGATGACGTACCATAGCAATGTATCGCTGGTTGGTGGCCATGTTGATGTGTTTGCTTGTTCGTTAGTGGTCTCTCCACCGTGTGCCTTTTTCTGTCTCTTATTTCTTGTTATTTTCGGCCTGGTCACTTTTTGTCCTCGCTCGTTTTCATTTCATTTTCTCTTTCCTTACTGTTTCCTTTTGTTTTCTTCTCTTTTTTCTCTTTTTCTCTCTACTTTCTCTCGTTTTCTGTGCGAGATGGCCTTGTCTCTGCTTGCGTTGTGAAGTATCAAGATTGAACCAAGGGGGTGTACCTCATTCTCTCCGGCCCGTGATGGTGACTCCTGGTCTCAGTTGTTATACCTCGCATAGCGCGCAGAGGGAGTGGAGGACTCCAGAATATCTGTCGTTGATTTCTATTGACATGCGGACCCCTCGGGGCCATTTCATTTGAGTGTACCTTTTTAGGGTAAGTTAGCCTGCGACCACGGGAATCGACCGCGTCGAGTGTGGGATCAGCACGGACATGCGAAGGTACTGGGTAGAGAGAGATCGGAACGGTTTTTAATGTGAAGCCAACAACAACAATAGTAAGATATCATGACTACGCACAACATTTTGTGGAGACGGGGTAAGATCGCAACCGTTCATTTTAGACGATAGGGCGATGGGCAGCCAAGCAACAATTGCCCGGCACGTACCTACACTTGAGAATCCAGCGAACAAGAAGAAGGTTCAAGGAATTACCTGGGTTTGCAGGTTTGTTCGTGGAACGTAAATTGAGTCCGATGTCTATATAACGAAAGTTGTCAGTCAGCGGCACGCAAAACGAAGAATGCACAGCGACACAAGACACGTAATGTGCAGTCACGTATGTAGCAGCAACAGACTCCGCACTACGCCTTCCCCCGTACGAGCGTACCAGTAGGGCCGCTGATCCGCTGTGGAGTCGAAACAATATGGAACAATGCCTAGTGGTATTTTCGGCGGGAGCCACAGAACCCACCGCTGTCCCAATCAGCCCGGCTACGCATCGCTTTCTGCTCCCGACTGGACTCCCTCCCCCAAAACAGAGGGTGGTATGATAGCGACAAACGCGGCGAGCGACATCTTCTGGCGTCACAGACTTCCACCGATGAAGAAGATCAGCACACGGCCAGCTTGGTGATGCTCTCTGTGGCCTCATAACAGTCGCATGAAATCCCCCGCCGCCTACCTACCTGCTGCGTGGGATCGTGGACCATGATGTTTTCTCTCCGTCCAACCAAGCAAGATCAAGGTGTGTCTCTCGTAAGCAAGAACGGTCCTTGTGCGCCGAGCGTCTTCAACGTCGATTCCCGAGGTAGTCGGATGTCTTTGGGGGGGCAACAAGTCTGGTCACCACGCGCGCTCCTCTGCTGTGTGTGGTTTCCCAGTTTTCCTCAATTGTGATAGAGCGAGCGTGCTGAACTTAAGAACGCAGAATCGCCGTTCCTAGAAACGAGATCAGAATGATCGAGCGGGGTTGTTGAGTAGCTTGGTGCGCCCGGCGCAGTTGTAGACGGCAAAAATAAAAGAACCGCGCGGCGAGTTTGCCGGCAACGATAAAATACAGTAAACTTCCCGCGGATGTGGTAACCCGCCGCATCTGTGATGTTCCGGAGCGTGATGGCTCTGATGTGTTGAAGCTGGTGCTGTGATAGCTGTTGTGATGACGTGATAGCCTAGAGACGTGACAGCCTGGCAGCGTGATATGTGTGGACACGAGCGTGATAGCCCAGAGAGTGATAGCCGGGAAAAAGAAGATGACATTTTTCCAAGTGCACGTGGTCAACACCGTTGCAGACACGTATACCCAGGAAACAACAATATGTGGCAAAGATGGTACCACCATTCCCCCAATA